TACGCTGGGGTATTGATACTCTATGTTATTGATATTCTGTGTTATTGATACTCTGGGGTATTGATACTCTATGTTATGATACTCTGTGTTATTGGTACTCTGGGGTATTGATACTTTGGGGTATTGATACTGTGGGGTATTGATACTCTGTGTTATTGGTACTCTGGGGTATTGATACTTTGGGGTATTGATACTGTGGGGTATTGATACTCTGTGTTATTGATACTGTGTTATTGATACTTTGTGTTATTGATACTCTGTGTTATTGATACTGTGGGGTATTGATACTCTATGTTATTGATACTCTGTGTTATGATACTGTGGGGTATTGATACTCTATGTTATTGATACTCTGTGTTATTGGTACTCTGGGGTATTGATACTTTGGGGTATTGATACTGTGGGGTATTGATACTCTGTGTTATTGGTACTCTGGGGTATTGATACTTTGGGGTATTGATACTGTGGGTATTGATACTCTGTGTTATTGATACTCTGTGTTATTGATACTGTGGGGTATTGATACTCTATGTTATTGATACTCTGTGTTATTGATACTGTGGGGTATTGATACTCTATGTTATGATACTCTGTGTTATTGATACTGTGGGGTATTGATACTCTATGTTATTGATACTCTGTGTTATTGATACTGTGGGGTATTGATACTCTATGTTATGATACTCTGTGTTATTGATACTGTGGGGTATTGATACTCTATGTTATTGATACTCTGTGTTATTGATACTGTGGGGTATTGATACTCTATGTTATGATACTCTGTGTTATTGGTACTCTGGGGTATTGATACTTTGTGTTATTGATATTCTGTGTTATTGATACTCTGGGGTATTGATACTCTATGTTATTGATATTCTGTGTTATTGATACTCTGGGGTATTGATACTCTGTGTTATTGATACTCTGTGTTATTGATACTCTGGGGTATTGATACTCTGTGTATTGATACTCTGTGTTATTGATATTCTGTGTTATTGATACTCTGGGGTATTGATACTCTGTGTTATTGATACTCTGTGTTATTGATACTCTGGGGTATTGATACTCTGTGTTATTGATATTCTGTGTTATTGATACTCTGGGGTATTGATACTGTGGGGTATTGATACTGTGGGGTATTGATACTCTATGTTATTGATATTCTGTGTTATTGATACTCTGGGGTATTGATACTCTGTGTTATTGATACTCTGTGTTATTGATACTCTGGGGTATTGATACTCTGGGGTATTGATACTATGGGGTATTGATCCTCTGGGGTATTGGTACTCTGGGGTATTGATACTCTGTGTTATTGATATTCTGGGGTATTGATACTCTGTGTTAGTGATACTCTGTGTTATTGATACTCTATGTTATTGATACTCTGTGTTATTGGGACTCTGGGGTATTGATACTCTATGTTATTGATACTCTGTGTTATTGGTACTCTGGGGTATTGATACTCTACGTTATTGATACTCTGTGTTATTAATACTCTGTGTAATTGATCCTCTGTGTTATTGATACTCTGTGTTATTGGTACTCTGGGGTATTGATACTCTATGTTATTGATATTCTGTGTTATTGATACTCTGAGGTATTGATACTCTGTGTTATTGGTACTCTGGGGTATTGATACTCTATGTTATTGATACTCTGTGTTATTAATACTCTGTGTTATTGATACTCTGTGTTATTGGTCCTCTGGGGTTTTGATACTCTATGTTATTGATATTCTGTGTTATTGATACTCTGGGGTATTGATACTCTGTGTTATTGGTACTCTGGGGTATTGATACTCTGGGGTATTGATACTCTATGTTATTGATACTCTGTGTTATTAATACTCTGTGTTATTGATCCTCTGTGTTATTGATACTCTGTGTTATTGGTACTCTGGGGTATTGATACTCTGTGTTATTGATATTCTGTGTTATTGATACTCTGGGGTATTGATACTCTGTGTTATTGGTACTCTGGGGTATTGATACTCTGGGGTATTGATACTCTATGTTATTGATATTCTGTGTTATTGGTACTCTGTGTTATTGATACTCTGGGGTATTGATATTCTGTGTTATTGGTACTCTGGGGTATTGATACTCTGGGGTATTGATACTCTATGTTATTGATATTCTGTGTTATTGACACTCTGGGGTATTGATACTCTGGGGTATTGATACTCTGTGTTATTGGTACTCTGGGGTATTGATACTCTGGGGTATGATACTCTATGTTATTGATATTCTGTGTTATTGGTACTCTGGGGTATTGATACTCTGGGGTATTGATACTCTATGTTATTGATATTCTGTGTTATTGGTACTCTGTGTTATTGATACTCTGGGGTATTGATACTCTGTGTTATTGGTACTCTGGGGTATTGATATTCTGTGTTATTGGTACTCTGGGTATTGATATTCTGTGTTATTGATACTCTGGGGTATTGATATTCTGTGTTATTGATACTCTGGGGTATTGATACTCTGGGGTATTGATACTCTATGTTATTGATATTCTGTGTTTTTGATACTCTGGGGTATTGATACTCTGGGGTATTGATACTCTGGGGTATTGATACTCTGGGGTATTGATACTCTGTGTTATTGGTACTCTGGGGTATTGATACTCTGTGTTATTGGTACATTGGGGTATTGATACTCTGGGGTATTGATACTCTGGGGTAGTGATACTCTGTGTTATTGATACGCTGGGGTATTGATACTCTATGTTATTGATATTCTGTGTTATTGATACTCTGGGGTATTGATACTCTATGTTATTGATACTCTGTGTTATTGATACTCTGGGGTATTGATACTCTATGTTATTGATATTCTGTGTTTTTGATACTCTGGGGTATTGATACTCTGTGTTATTGGTACTCTGGGGTATTGATACTCTGTGTTATTGGTACTCTGGGGTATTGATACTCTGGGGTAGTGATACTCTGTGTTATTGATACTGTGGGGTATTGATACTCTATGTTATTGATATTCTGTGTTATTGATACTCTGGGGTATTGATACTCTATGTTATTGATATTCTGTGTTTTGATACTCTGGGGTATTGATACTCTGTGTTATTGGTACTCTGGGGTATTGATACTCTGTGTTATTGGTACTCTGGGGTATTGATACTCTGTGTTATTGGTACTCTGGGGTATTGAC